TGATGTCCCCTTATAAAGCATACTGCCTTATAAGATCACTTCAAGAAGGCCACAATTAAAAGTAATTTATGCATAATGAATAAGATAAAACACTATCTACTTCACATTTTATTACACACAGAGGCTATGCAAAAGTTGTGCATCACTTGCAGCACACAAAATGATATGTTTCTTCACTCAGCAATGTGATTAATCATAAAATTAATCACTACTATTTGTTAAATGTAAATCTTGTGACATCATTAAGTTTAACATGAGCAAATTTCAAGGTATATATCATTTTAGCCCATCATTATTATTTCACGTCTGGAAAATACCAAACAAAACAAGCAATTCATAACAGGTGAAGGATCAAGGCAAATTACCCAAAAGGGTCTTGAGCAAGGTGAAGGCCATGCCTACAAATTTCTGCGACCAGCTTATCTCGATATTTGCCAATTGAATGATCAATGCAACGTTGCAATACACAACATCCATGTCGATGAGTAGCTATGTCAACACAAAACTTTGCAGCGGCATAAAAAATAAACTGTGGAACAGGATGAAGGAAGATGATAATAAATTAACTTAATCGGTCAATTGAATTAAAAAAGAGCTTGCAGAAGAGAAAAGAAAGACAATGGAACAAAGGCTGTGCGCAGGCAAGAAAATGCAAGCTCAACAATAGAGGTACAATTCTGGAAAATTTATGCATGGCATGTATGATATGAAACTGATGTAAGAGACAGCGGAGCCTCTCTGAAGGCTTGAAATACTAATTTACACAGTAAATGTCTGGGGAACCGTTGAACTGAATCAATAACTTGAACAAAAAAAGAATGAATCCTCGTACAGAAAATGTTCACAACAAACTACTTCCTTTCAATTGAATATAATTTTCCATTTATACATTTCCTTCAGATTCTATGCCGATCTATCTTTGTGCATATCATCACCATTGAACCCGTTTGAATGCCGTTTCTCTTTCATGTAGCATTCCAGAAAAAAAGATTGCATTCAAATTGAGGTGGAAATGGATTCTTAAACCTATTTTGAGAGGGTCTTAACAAGGTAGTTTCCTAGAAATATTCAGTTCCTGCAAGGCTGCAGCCATATTCATTTCAAACTCAAGAGTTCTGCATATTTTCTCCCTGTATTCGAGCAGTGAAGACTTCGGAGCTCACTGAGTATGGTTCCGCATGGTCACCTAAAAGCTCTAATCAAGACTTTTTTGAAATAGACCATGCCACTAATGTGATGGTTATAGAATTCAACAGGTGAACGGCTTGAGAAATAGAAAGCTCCTAATAATCTAGTTTTATTGGGCTAGCATATTGAACCAGTTGAAGCATGATATACAAGCACTCTGCGTGATTTAAGAAGTGCCTAAAAAAGGTTTTTTAAACAACGAACTTTTTTTCCCCCATTTATAACATCCTAAGCTAGGCAGTGTCAGGTTTAGGTTAACAATACAAAGGTCATGTGGCTCGACTATAGTACACCGAAGCAAAATTTTTGGGAAACGTTGCGTTGAGAATTCATTTGAAACGAATTTGATAAGGAATGCAGCTAACGACGCAGTTCATTTTTCCACTTTTACTCTGGATCCAAGGTTGCCATTCTGTCATCATACTGTTTACTCAGTACAAAGACCAAATAGTCATCCCCTTTCGATTGTGGAAGTAAAGCAGGCGAAAAAACAGATACTATATCAGAAGTGTAAGATTGACATTAAAAATTTTTAGTAAAATGATTGCAAGAGAGGCGTTTTACCTCATTATCTTGACAGCTAAGGCATTGCAAGCATCGTTGTATCACGTGATTTCCATTCAGATCCTTAACAAGATCAAGAAAACCTGCTTGAAGGGCTGACTTCACTAGTGAAATTTGTTTCCTAGAGTTGAGTGTCTCAATCAACTTCTGGATGACCCGCGTGCTGACGCAATGATATTTATTTAGAGGTCAAAAGTATATAACATGTGCTACATCCTATCTACAGAAAAAAGAAAGAAATTTGTAGTTAAAATGGAAGACATACCCATGCGTGTTTAAAGATATTCTGACGAGCTGCCCTGGTTCTTTAGTCACCATGGAAACAATCTGCAATTTCTCTTCTTCTCTGCACACGTCCAGCAACTTCTGCACAAGATAGTTACCAAAAGGGTCCATCATAAGTTCAACAACATTATCTATGATCCCCTCAAATACTATATGCATGTCCTTAGAGTTTCCCTTATCAACCATCCTTTGTAGGAAGCGACATCCGTTCTGATCCTTTGCCAGAAAGCAAATGTAACCTTGGCACTCAGCCAAGGAACAGAAACTCAGAAGTGAGGGCAGTGGGAAATCACCAACAAGACTTCCTTTGTTCGCACAAATTTGACTACCAGGGGTATAAGAATTGTGTTTAGAAACTTCCTCCCCCACAGTTGCAAATGCATTCTCATTGAGGGAATTCTTTTTGGTACCCCTCAAAGAATTGTATCCTTTGTCTGTGCAATAATTTATATCTCTTCCCTGTATGATAAAACTATTATCACATCGAAATGCCACCGGATCGCCACCAGCTCTTTTGGACGGGAGAAATTCAGGCAGCTCAAAGTTAGCAATTCCCCTTGTTTCTAGTATATCCTGATGTGAAGCTAGCTTGGGTTGCATGATTTGAGAGAATCTTAAGGGGTTTTCGACACTCCTGCTTCCATCATAATCCACTCCACAAAGTTGTGAGCTAGTTAAACCATCACAGAGGTAGGGGGTGATGATAGATGGCTTCTGCGGTTGAACTTCTCCATCATAGCTACTGCTCCCCTGTTTCTTGCTGTGCTCCAATTGATGATATGTTTGGTTCATGTTCCACCCAGAGCACAAACTCAGAGCGCTGGATTGACCATGAGCGAGGGAAGAAGTGTGTCCTTTCTCCAAGGTATGGTTGTTCCACTTCATATCAGCAACCAAACTTGGTGAAACTCCCCAAGTAGACGATGAGATACACTCATAATTAGGAGCGGGAACTTCATTGCAAAAATCTTCATAGGAGCTCCGTGTTTCAGTAACGCCGGGAATATTTATATCGAAAGACGAAAAGGCGTCAAATCTAAATCCATAGGAGTCCGCTTCAGGTGCCTTTGTTTTGTTACCATTTCCCCGTCCGTCTATAATATTCATTCTATAGAAATCACGAGACAGGTCCAGATCAACCACTTGATTATCAATAATACTCTTCCCAATATGGAAATCCGATGACTCGGGGTCCAACAACAATTTAGTTGAGTGGTGATCGTGGGGTGTTACATGCTTTCTGTCCTGAAATGGTGCTGAGTATGAGGAGTTATGGGCAGAAACATGAAGCCCGTCAGCGAAAGAAGTTAACGGTGGAGAATGTGATGTGTGAGAGACCCTCCATACAGGGGATTTAATCGCCAAATGCTCATTGTAACGATGGCAATGAGGAAGATTGGGACATGATGTGTTTGGAAATCCATTCCGCCACGTTCCCAACACTTCATCTCTCTTCACGTTGTTCTCCACCTTGCTCATATTTCTCTCAGATGTTTTGAACATTATTAGAAGAAAATCGATTCAAAATTCAGAAACAGAAGGCTGCAAGATTCAGTCCGAAAACCCACGTTATAAAGAAAATTCAGAGGCAGAAAAGATGTCGCAACGAGGCACGGCAACTATTTCTTCGAGCATACAGCATGAGGAATGGCTGATGAGCTTTATAACGTGTGAATCTCATTGTGCTCGGAATGCGAGAGAACGAAGAATTATCAGAAAGGGGTTTTTGATGCTGACGGTGACGGGTTTGCTGCTATACGTGTAAGGCCTGTCCGGCTCACGCTCACGCCCCCAGAGGAAGATCCTGCCGCTTTATGCACATCACAGCACTATGCAGCAGAAAAAAAAGTGCAGCTTTTTTATTTATTTTTTATTTTTCCAGAGTTTAATTCACCAACAAAAAGTTTTAACAAAACAAAAATGGGTTGTTCAGATTGTGCGGTTATGATTGTAATCAGAAACTTGCAATTTAAACTTTTTTTCGTTGGCTATGTATTATATTCTATGTATGAAAATATCAACAAGAGAAATATAAATTAAAAATTAAAAAATATTTATGTTTTTTTAAATAAAATTTGTTAGGGGAGAGAAGGTCTGATTAGACCAATTCTACGTAATTCTTGCACGATTAGGGTGGGAACATGTTGAGTACGTGGAATGATTCAATCTGCTTGGATCCCGAAATTATATTTATGCTTGAACTTATTATTTTATGAACAAATATATATTTTAAATATATATACGTCCACGGAGAAACTAGGTAAGGGGAAGAGAGACACAAGAGTAAGAAGGGGGGATTGGCCAAAACTTTGCTCTGTGGCAGGACGATAAAAATAAATGAGGGCAGAGCAGCTGCGTGCCACTTCAAGCTTCTTCTAAATTTTCACTCCCTCGCCTCTCCCTCTTTTTTTTCTTTTTTTTTTTATAAATAATCTTCACTATTTCAATATTTTTAGTGGTCTGATCTAATCTAAATAATATTAAATGGTTACCTCCTCAAGATTTTTTGTTTAAAATTTACATAATATAACATTTTTATTAAACAATATGTGCATGTGCATATAGTCCATATGTATGTGCACATTTTAACACTGAGGGCTTATTTTGGCTGTCATTATTAGAGATGGTTATCAAGCGGATACCTATTTTTACGATCACACAGCACCGCCACCAAGATTTGTATGTGCCCATTGATTATGAGGGTTATGCTATTTTCCCAATATGATTAATTGATTATTGAGGATAAAGTGTTCTCCCTCTTTACCCGGAGCAGGAAGCTTATCTCCCCCTTTCCTCTTATCCCATGATTTTTGTGTTTGTGAAAGGAAATTTGCTGTATTTTTTTTTCTGACCGTGATGAGATATGGAACTTCATCCACAAGAAACAAATCAATTTAAGCGAGAGCATGCTCATCCTAGGAACCGCACGTTCAAAAATATGAATGTAAATTAGCAGATGGACATCAGGAAATAAATCAGATGCACAGCCCTGATCACTTCATTAAGTAAATGGTTCCTTTTGGTGAAGACATTAAGAAACCTAAAACAGTTGAGTCCCAAATCCCAGAAGTGCGAGGTCAAATAATACCATAACGCATCCCCAGTAACAATAACGAAACAAGACAGTAGCAACATAACACAGACCTAAAAGGCTATACCAAGGCAATGCTGCTCTCACCCCCAGGTGGCTTCCTAATGCCGCCTAGGTAGTCTCTAGATTCTACCTTTCCATCAGCAAAGATGTTACTGCCACTCATTTCTCGCAGTTTAGCCACGCTGAGTGGCTTCTCAGCAGATGAAGGCGGCGCATCACCCGTGAAAATGTCATTTCCTGAAAGATCAGTAAATTTCTGGTTATGAATCTTCTTTGCTGTCTTGGTAATTGATTCCTTGTGTTCGTCTCCATCAGTCTGCAGATCAGGTCACGAGCAACTTGTTATTTAACTGGCAAAGACAATAAGCACACAGATGCAACGTAATAACATTCCCACACGCATGAAACACAAAATGGCATAGCTAGTCTGCAATAAATTAGTATCCAGTGCCGTACACCCCAAGGTTTCCAAATCATCATCTGTGCAATCTGTATTATGCATTCCTTGGAATTACTTACTTCCTTGCCCAAATATGCTCTCATGACATGTGCCATATTGTGCAGACAGAGAAGAATTATGTTATCTTAAAATTGCAATTATATAATTCAGATTAGCAACATAAAGTAATTCACACATGACGTGTAACAGGCTCTCCAATGCTTACGCTTCCTTTCAATTCCAGAATGCGAGGAGTTACTGGCCGGGGTTTGATTTCAGGCGGAGGAGCAAATATGTTATGACCGCTAAGCTCCTTGCACTTTGCATCAGAAAGCAGCTTCTTCCTAGAGTCCGATTCACTTTCCAAGGTTCCACTTAGCTCACGCTGCTTGGCTACCTCAGGCAAAGTAGCGGCCTTTTTGGGGGAAACACTCTCCTCCTCACCAAAGGAGATGTGACTAATTCCAGCAATTGCTTGCTGCCAGTTTCCAGAAATCAAGAATGGGTATACGAGTTAGCAAAAATCCAATACAAAATATAGAAATCTGTATGTTCTTAATTTCTTACATAACACTACGGCCTACCTATATCTATTAGTACCTGATACATGCGCAGTCCAGTTTTATTTGGAGTGGGGTTGGCACTGCCAGGCTCTAGCATGTCCTCATCTCCTTTGGCTGCAAAGATCCCACTGCCAGTGATCTCCTTCATTTTATACTCCGAACAAGGCTTCCTGGAATTGCATAGCAAACCAATTTCAGGTGCCATAAAATAAATACACACAAAGCGAAAAAGGCATTGCCACATGATTGATAAGAAGGGGAAATCTATTAGTTCGATTCTTGGTGTGATTCAATAATTGATTTTGCATTCATTTCCTACTTGTTGTAGTGCCAACGACTCCCATTACCATACCTTAAACGGCAGTTGCACTAAAAAATAAGGGAACAAATGAAGCTGTTTCCGGAATCCTAGGTATGTCAGCTCTTTCAATCAAGATGCAATTTGCAGATCAAAGAGAAAATTAAAAATTGCAGAGAAAATATGGCAGAATCAGGTGCACGAACAATTTTACTAATCATACGAACTTAATCTCAAAGTAGATAAGAAGAGGCACGCAATAGATCTCACCGTTTGTTTAAGTTCTCGACTTCTTCGTCCGTCACCTGACCCCCAAACACCACCTTACTGATCCCATCCGACGGCTAACATCCAACAAAAAAGACGATTGCTGATAAATGTTCCACCAAGAACAAATATAAAAGAAAAGAGGAAGCAAAATTGCAGAACCGGAAGAAGAAGGAACATGATTGAGAGCAATGAATAGAATATGGGGTACCTGGTGAGAACGGACAGCGGCAGAGCCAGGAGCCAGAGAATCAGAAGGTGGAGTTTCAGACCAAGTAAGCAGATCTGCGGTGGAAGTGTGAGGCTTCCTAACCGGGGTGGTTCTCTCCATTGGCGGTCAACAGTAATTCACTAGAGATTGGAGTTACAGTAGGTGAGACGACTGACAGAGGAAACGAACCACGCCTAAACAGTGATTACTCCTCAGTAATCACCTAAAGACAAGCCCGCATTTAAAGAGTATATGCTTGAGAAAGAAGGAGGCGAACCGTCCCTGTTTCCGGGGATGGACGCGTGTATCTCGGCTTACAGACGCAAAGATGGAAATGGAATGGCCGGAGGTGACGACGATGAGCTCGCGATCTCAAAAATTCCCACCGTTTAATTCTCGTTCGGGATTGGATTGGTTGCTTCTAGCTCTTGGCTATCCAGGACACGAAATGGAGGTGGAGTACAAGAACAGTAAGTGGTAGAGGACCAAGGATGGAAGCAGCGGCAGAAGCTACTCTCCTGTTCTGAACTTAAACCAAAAGCAGACGCCTCCACATAGTATATACACGCGCGCGCCTTCGCTGAGTTACTCCTTTAATTTTTCCCCCTATAAATTCTTTGATTATCTGCTCCACCTCTCACGCACGCCATTTTGAATCTCATGCCGCCACCTCTGTATGTTCCTTTTTTTTTTTTTTTTTCTGGTTGATGGCAAGCATGTGCCCCCGGCTGAACCGCCACATGCCGGTTTTGGAAGAGCTACTCAATTACTCTTTTGCCCTTTTTTTAATCTCTAGCTACCAATCTTCCTAGGTGCTAATGCCCTTATGCCCCTGCCAGCTTAATTCTGGAGCTACACTTTAATTCTATACAATTATTCAAAATTCTTTTTATTGCCAGCTACCAATCTTCCTTCGTTGCAGCCTTCCTCGTCTTAAAAAATTATGTATACACATGTTTTACGGGCTGCCTTCTGTCTTTGCCCTGACCAGAGTCCTGACTTTATATTTTATAATCCAGTTAATTCTTGTTACAACTTTTTAAAAAATAAAAAATAAAAAAACGGGGATGTAGGTTTGGCATATTGGCGAGTGGAAGCATTCCTGAGACTTGTGACTTCCTCTTCAATTTTGTTTTTCACCCCTGTTTTGGTGACTTAAAAATAATACTGATATCAAATTATAAAGCATTTTTTAATAAAATCTTACATGTTAATAAATTTTACTAAATAAATGTATAATAAATTTATTTTTTAAAAAATAAATATATAAATTTTTAATAATAACTTTCATTTAATATATTAAAAAGAGACAATGACAAAAATCAAATAAAAATAAAAAATAATATTAAAATAAGCTTAGTTTTAATAAAATATTTATTTTTTAAAATATTTTATATTTTAATATGTTAAATCTCTTTTAAAAGTATTTTATAATTTGAGATAAAAAATATTAATAAAAGGCAAGAGAGGGAACGGCTTTTGTGACTTAAATAAGTAAATGACAACAACAACATCTTTTGCCGTAACGTCGTCGTTGTCCCTCATATGGGCATTATCGTCATTCAGGGGGTCAGTAGATGACTCCTGATTGTGTCAGTGGACCCGAATGTAACGTTGCAATTAAGTGATCCGTTAAACATCCCGAACTCGCTCTGCTTACAGAGATTTCTTTTCTTTTTCTTTTTCTTTTTTTGGTTGAACTTTTCTTGAGGATCTCAGTTACAACAACAATAATAACCTTTTAAAACTAGAAAAATTTCAGGGTAAGTTTGAGTAACCCACAACTACATTTAAAATATACTTCCATCAAATTCAAAGAATAGTTAAATTTTTTAAATATATTTTTATTATATGTAAACTGAATGTAAATTAAAATTTAAATGGCCACTCAATCTTCTTTCCTTATAAAAAATGATGGTGTTAGTTTTTTTATTTTTTATTTTGGTGAACCATAGTGTTCGCCAATAAATTGGCAGAAAAAAAATTATGTCTCGAGGAAAAATTTATCAAAGACATCGGCCAAAAATTTTCACCAAAAAAAGGAGGCATCTATAATTACGACAGTGAGAATTTCAATTTAAAACTAGCGACATGACATTATTGCAAATCAAATCCAAAGAATTCTAAAAATTACTTAAGGACCGAGGAATTAAATTAAAAAATAAGTTGTATCAAACAAAAATTGAAAATAAGATTCAAATCAAAATTATCATAATACCCTTTAAATATTATTTTTTAAAAAAATTGACCTCGTTAGAACCCCAACATTGACCTCTAAACCTCTAGCACGGACCACCAAAAGTAAATACCCAAAGTTATATCAATTAAAACATATTTTTAAAAATTTAAAAAAATAGACTGCCAATGATGGTTACAAGTAATTAATGATAATGATTAATAATAAAAATTAGTTAAAATAACTATAATTTTTAATAATTAAATGTAGTGTGTTTAAAAAATAAGAAACATAAAACAAAAACAATTTAAAGTTGTTTCTATTTTTTTATTTTTAAAAACAAAAAATGAAATTAGTTTTGAAAACAACTAAATAAAAATGCTTATCCAGAAAAATTTTTAAATTTTTCTATTTTAAAAAACAAAAATTAGTTTTAAAAATGGAAAACAAACAGGCTCTTAATATAACACTTGTCTCGAATGTTATTCAAAAATTATTTAAGTTAAATAAACTAAATATGATTAAGGAGATGATCCTAAAATCAACTTAGGAACAAATCATTTTAATCACTAAACAAATACACTATAGTAAAATAAATATTTAAAATGTTTTAGAAAAGTTTAAAGGTTTTACATATAACACACAAGCAAGCTAGGTGAAACTTGAGTAAAAAGTTAATGTTTGACCTTTGATTTAAGTGATTTAAGAGCAAATCGCTCTTAATGAGTACTAGTAATGCTTTAAATTTCAAAAAGATTTAATAGTTAGATTGAAAGTCAGGCACGTTACAAGATTAGACAGCATTGTTGTCATGTCAATACCTCTAGACCAATTTTTAGAGTGCACCATTTCTCCATACGACTTTTAATCGAGATGATTTTAAAGCCCACACAAAACTTATAAATTTTTTTACTTGTGATTGAAAATTCAAGGAAAACTAATGGTTGGATTGAAATTTCAACACCCCGATACAAGAATGTAAATTTATAGTAATCATTTCAAAGTTGTTTACACCCCATCCTAATGATTATAGACCTGTGAAAATACTCTGAACATGTCGAATAAGACTAAGAGATAAGAGTACCTAATAGAGTAGTTAAGTGATGGAAATATCCCTTATATTAAAATTTGACTACCTGACTGTCATTTTCCATAATGGACTTTTAACCTTAAAATTCACAAAAAAAAAAAAATACAATGGTGGCAAAAAACCATTCCACAACATAAACACATATAAATACACATGTTAAACATTTTCACTTGGTTCGAAGATTCTAATGGAGCCCACGTAACTACTCTTTTTATTCAAGGTATATGTTTGCTCATAGCACACAATTCATAATACAATTATTTTGCATTTATTTGTAGAAGCACATATATTTATATACGCACTAAAATAAACATTTGCTTATAGTGAAAACTTGATTTACCATATGAATCCATTAAAATCACATACCATAACAAAGTTTTCAAGTCATAAGTCTGCATGTAAACAAATATCATACATAAGCACACAATCTACTTATATTCACATATATGTATAATGGCATCCTATTGGCACTCTAATCTAAATACATTAAAAAACACTTGCTCAAAAGAAAGGGTTATTATTCTTTACAACCTACAAATGCAAACCCCTAGCTTGGTCTTTTCCCTATCCACCACTAAATCCCTCACTTAGACTTACAAATATTGAAAAGAAAGGGGTGAAACAACTACAATTTTAGTAATAGAGAGATAGATATTTATTATTATAAAGAAAGTCATAGTCGAATAAATAAATCATAGATTAAACATAATATATAATTAAGCCATTTAAATGCGATATAGGCCGATGTAGTCTTTATAGACTAACAAAATGCACTTTGGCACTTTCAATTAGCAAGTAAACCTTGCATCCATTTGTACCTTCATAAGCACAAAACATAATTTAAGGCATGCTCTAATTCACCAAATCACCTGTGCCTCTTCAACGTTAATCCTGAGTAATTGAAGGTAATTTTTTTTAGAGCTAGCCTAACATACTCTTCATGTTAGAGCTACCTTAACCTAAGCACTCAGCCTCACACTTTATATGTTGGATTCCCTCTTCCACTAAGAGGTGTCCAACACTTAATTCATTAATCCCTTTAATACACTGAGCCCACAAATAAATAAGATAGCATTGAATATCAAGAATGTATCATAGAATATCACAAGTCCACACTTCTCCATTGGTAAACTCCCATTGAGATTATGGCTTCCACTCTTGTCTATCTTTCTAGAGTATTAACAACTTCAACACTCTAAGGTAGTATAACATACATTATTCATCCTTTAAGCAATTCCTTAACTTATTTAATATATCTAACTCAGTTATATTTTTTTAAGTGCAACTTCTAGTTTTTATGATTACAATGCACACTAACAATCTTGTTTCCATAAAGAATATCATTATTCCATGTTAAAATTAATTATAAATCTAAACCATATTTTTCAAAAAATATTCAAACACTTGTTATACTCGTCAAAATTGATTACAAACTCAAAACCATGATATCTTAAAAATATCCAAAAATCACATGCATGTCAAAATCAATTAAAAACACAAAATCATGATTATCTCATAAAGGCAAGCATCTTAAGACAATAAAAAGAGACTCAACATTTTTCGGACAAGTATTGTTGCTGTACGGTGTATTCCACTGGATTTCGATTACTGTGGATCGTCGAATCAGGATAGTGTAAAAATATGCAACCAAGCGCCCACCGTGGGGCTCGAACCCACGACCACAAGGTTAAGAGCCTTGCGCTCTACCGACTGAGCTAGACGGGCTTCGTATGGTGCCAGTTGCTCATACAGTATCACAAAATACAAATCTGGGTTGAACAAAGTTGCCTGTTTTCATGAGAGCACAGGGCTGAAAATTATAGATTTTAAGTACGAACAAACTTCTAAACCTGCTCCTGTTAGGCCACGTGAAAAGGTTTCAGGAGGTTCATTTAGACCCTTTTTTCTTTTACTATTAAAAATAAAATATTTTTAACTTTAAAATTAGATTCAGACTTTATAATATATGTTAATATTTTAAAATTAAAATCCATATTACTTATTTTAAATTTTTGGATCTTATAATTAGTATTTGGAAAAAAGAATGTGTGATGTTATGATGTAAAAATCAAATTTTTAAAAAATAAAAAAAGAATTATGAGTTGGGCCATGAGCTTAACCAATAAGATTATAGCCTAAGTCCATATGAATTAAGTTCACCCTTTACTAGTTTCATTTTTAAATCACAATTAAAATAAATAAAATTGGAGGATTGTTTTCAATTGGATAACACCCATAAGTAATAAAAAAATAAAGTTAAATAAACCATAAAGTCGGTTCAAAACTTGCACCTGTTTTTTTTTTTTTATGAAAATCTGTCCACATTAAATGATAATTTGATTTAAT